TTCCCCTGGGAAGTTAAATTCACACGTTAGTATATGTGTTTATTATTTCTTCTAAGAGGCTGAAGCAGCGACAGAGCCCAGGCTTGAGGGTATGTAGAGTACGGGGGCGGGTTAACAGGTGGAAGGGAGGCCAAAACGGTACCTGTCCGGTGGTGGGTGAGGGCCGGGTGGCAGCGAAGGGCGGCCCTCTCCGCGCTGGAGGAACACCTGTTGAGCACATCGAAACCGAGCGCTGGCTGGGGCTGGGGCCTCCTCCGGGTTACTTTGGAACAAAGTACGTGTATCGCAGTGGCTGTAGACTTTCAAATTTCATTGGGATTGGTTTTTTTTTAAATTAATTTCGGTGTAATAAAGCAGGCTGGGCTGTAGATCTGTCCTGCCACACCCTTCACTTCCCGAGGTGCCAGACAGCAGCAGAGGCAACCGCGAAGGCGGCTGGATGTGGCTGTTACTACTTCTTTGGCGACTTCCTTCTCTGGGATATCCCCAACCTTCAGTTAGGTTTAGAGGTGCTTCAGAAAATATGTGGGAAGAGCTAAGGGGCAGTGACCAGGTTTCCTCAAACGTGCTGAGAAAGGCTGTTACAATGAGTTGGATTTTTACTGGGGGCTTCAATGCATGTTGGAGCGATTGCAGCCTATGGGGAGATTCCCTTATTCATGTGATTAAATGCAGCACTTCCTCAGAAACAAGCTGCACTGCCTTGTCTTTTGCTGAATTCTGTGGGTCTTTGATTAAGTAATTAAGATGTGGCTTGGGCCTTACAGTAAAGGAGTAAGAGGTAAAGGGCTTAACAATCTTTAAATGATCAGCAGCGAAATTAATGTGCACATAATAGCACCCATTGCAGAAGGATGTGTTGCTGATACCTTCTGTCATGTGTCTCTGTGGTTGCAAATCACCTCTAATTTACCATGCACTGTGGAAGCAACCTCCCACCTCAGGAATTGAATGGACATTATTATGAAGCAGATAAGTTTCTTTTTATTGCCAGACTTTGAGGTTGAAATAGAAGTCAGGGCAGTAGTTAGAAAAATGTATGTGTACGTGCCTCATGTTAGTGTGAGACCTGTGTGCACGCCAGCTGCTCTTACCATGTGCTTGATTTCTATGGGCTGGTAGCGTCAGCGAGGAGCTATTGTATGTTCCAGCCAGGTCCCGTGAGGGTGTAACCTGGAGCCTGAGACCTGTGACAGGCCGCAGAGTCCAACTACTCATCTATAGCTTTTCATGGTTGCAACGGCTCTAGCAGAGCTCTTGGGGTCTCCTTTCAGCTGCTTGGCCCTGCCTTTTCTGCCCCGTAGCTGCAGATGATCAGCTTTCCTGCTTTGCTAAATTCAACAGCTGCCATTAAGACATGGCATTTTTCTCATCTAATACCTCAAAACTAAGAAGCCTGTAGAAAGCTTTGCATCTTGTACAGGCTTCAATATTGTTGTTCCAAGGTTTAATTACTATTTCTCACTGGATAGCATCTTCCTAAAAAGAGGTTTTTCCTTCTTTATATTGCTTCTGGTTACAAACCTGTTATTCTCTATAAGTATAATCTTTTATAGTGATGAATTACCCATACGTTTGTATGCTATTGATTTTTTTTCCATAACACACTTGTGTAAAATGTTGCTGCCTCCAAAAGTAGAGTAGTTTGTTTATAAAAAATATTTTTTCTACAACAAATGTTATCATTAGTATTAAGCCCTAGAAGAATGACTGAGGGGAAATAATGTGTCCTTTCAACTTTTTGACCTAAAATTGCCTTTGTTATTCCCTTCTAAGTAACACAATTAAAACAATTACTTCACTATAACTGTAGCAAAATATTGCATCAATGAGATGGCTTTTGATCCCAGAAAGGCTAATGCATAAACTATCTGCTAGTTTGATACCGACCATTCAGTATCAAGTTGATTCATATGTACAATTTATTTCCTGTAAAATAAATTTCCTTTCACTAAATGAAGCAAATAGTTAAATTTTCCCCTCCTTTCCCATTATATTCTGTTTTTCGATTCCGTTTTTCCATTCCTGTTAAAAGTTTGTGCCTTGAGGCCTACCAGCAGGGCATGCAATACCTACATTAAACCAAATTTAAAAGTAAGGGTGCTCCTGCTGCTAACGTCCTCAGATCACAGACATGCAAAATAAAGGAACTGGCAGCTGAAACTTTAATGGTAGGAAGTGTAGACTGAATACTTGGGAAAAAAATACAGTAGCTCTATATGAGAAAAAAGTCCTATTAGCATTTATGTACTTCAAAATGACAAGCTAGACGATTTTATGTAACTGTGAGGCTTTCGGCTTTTGAGTAAAACCCTGTGTTGTAAGTATATCATTGCTTACATTTTTTATTCAAAGTATTGTTACCATTATGATTACGTATTATTCTGAACATTAATACAGTGCCTGTTGTTGCATTGTGCACTGCACGTTCAATCATTTCTCCACCTTATGTATTAAGTTAAAATACTATTAATACTTGCAGCTAGATAGCTTGAGAAAGCATAGGGAATCAGATGCAAGTAAGATTCCTGAGTCACTTGCCACTGTGCAAATCTAAAACACTCCAATGAAAGAGAAAAAAATATTGAAAGTAAGATGATGACCGTTTCTTTTTTTTGCTGAAGTAATGGTGAGGCCTGAAAAGATTTGTGTGGAACTGGAGTCTGGTTCTACACGTAGTGCACTGGAAATAAACAAATTGACTGAGAAATAGCACAAGGATAAGAAAGTGCATCACTGTGAAGGCATTTTTTCAAGTAATGTTGGTTTTGTTTGTTTATTTTAGTTAAAATGAATGTGTTGCCTCAAGACATCCTACAAAGCCCAGGAGAGCATCCCAGGTTCATAGAGCAGACTGTTTGCCCCTCATTAGACTTTGCAAGGTATGTACCTCCTTTCTATCAGAGCATCATTTTTACAGCGAATAGCTTCAATCAGCTATGCCAAGGCGGCAAATTATGTTTGCTTTTTTGCAATATTTAAAACCACAAAAATCCAGGGTAATGAAATTCTCTCTTAGGAAAGTTTCATAATTAAAAGGGAAAAACAATGAAATAGGAAATGTGTTCTGTTCAACGTAGATATTTCACCGTAAGTTTTCAAAACCCATTCAAGAGCCATAGGAAGTTATTTCCATTTAGCATTGACATGAATGTAGGTCATTGAAAATGTAATTATTTGGATGAAAACCAAGATTTTTGGTTGGGTTTTTTTTTCATTGAAGCATGAACCAGTTTCACATCTTTCAAAATATCATGAATAAAACTGACTTGGAAAACTTTTTTCTGTATTTAATAACTGAGAGTTAACCACAGAGCCATAATACGATCAAGCCATCTTCTTCTTGCACATGCCTACATGGCTTTCTGTTGCACTAATTTCTCCTCTTAGTTACTTGTATCCATATATTTTTGTCTCCCTCAGTGAGTACTGTTCTCTCAATTATTACTCTGTCCCAGACTAATAATCCCACATGTCGAAAACTGAGTCGATGGAATTTTCTACTGGGTATTTTTTCCTGTCTGTCGTCTGCCTGTCTTTTCTGTCTTACATTAACATCATTGATAATAACAGCCAGGATGAGCTAAGTATTTAGTAGTTTTAGTAACTTAAATTCTTTATGATGGATGACTGTGTTTGTAGTTGCATTAGTTCAATACAGGGTATTACAGAGCTGATGTAAATAGTAATTGGTTTGCAAATTGTTGCTTTTGGGTTTTTCCCCTTGGCTGTAGTTATCTTTAAGCTGGAGTTACCAATAAGAACTCAGAAATTTATACCTTGACTATAAGCCAGGTCACATTTTAAATTGTATAGGATTTTCAAGGCTTTTCAGGGCTTTTCCCCTGATTGTGTTTTATTAAAATACCTTTGAGAAGATAATAAGAAGGCATCAGGTTTTCCTTCATTGCAGTTTGGGATTATATTTAGCTGCAGTGTAGAATAAATTGCAGCGAGCTGATAGGGATGCCTAGGAATTCACTTGCTGTAGTTGACTCTCTGAGTTTGAGCATTTGGACCTTCCCCTCCCTCCTGTATCTAGTTTATTCTCTATTTGTTGTTGAAGTGCAGTCTTAAAGTACAATTGACAGCCAAAGTTTTTTATTTGGTGGACTGAATACTTCATATTTAATTACCCAGAGATACTATTTTTCAGGTTTTCTATTACCTCATATAAACCTATTGTACCTTGAAATATGTTTTACAGCAGTTTAAAATATGCAATAATTACCTTATTTTCATTCTCCTAATGGCATTATGTATCTTTCTAAACTGTGACCATTTAGGCGTGAAAATTCTGATACTGATTAAATATTGGTATTTATTATAAGTCAAATTATATGGAAATATCCATATGGTGTATACTTCACATGGTCAACAGCAACTTACATGGATTGTGTTACGTGCGGCTTGAAAGCATAAGCCTCTGCTGGTGCAGCTCAGTAGCAGTAAATTCTGGAGCAAGTTTAAATGCCCTATTTGTGCCAGAAGTTTTCACTATTACACTGTTTTAAATACAGACATGTCAAAATATCTCTACATTGCTTAGCTATTTTGTTTTCATTTAAATGAACTTCATGAAGTGTCTTTGGTATTCTCAGAGCAATAAGGAGCATGACACTTATATTAGCTAACATTATGAAAAGAATTTACTCTCATCCCTGTAATGAAAGACAGCAGTGTAATACAGACAAAGAGAAAGTAATAGATTTATGTGGAACACTAATGTTGGGTTTCTTTTATCTTCGAGTGATTAACTAGACAGTCTTAATGCTCTTTTAAAGAAGAATAAAAATAAATTCACATTAGTTTTATAAAGATAATATCCTCTACAGTTGAGATATCAGAATCTATTTAAATACACTTTGTGGTCAGTAAGTGCATATTACCCTTTAAAACTCAAACCATCTTTTGTGTGTCAGAGTGCAGATGCAAAGAGATGATGGCTCAAGTGAAAAGTGAAGTGATGTGCAGTTCAAATTTTAAAATTAGATCCATGCATCCTGAAATTTGCTGTTTATTTCAGTGCCCTTTGGATTACCCCCTTAGTGGACCACCTTTTGCAATATGCTGCTCAAATTGTGGAAAGCTGAGAGCAATATTTAAAGTCTGCATTGCACTAAGGAAAACATTTTAAGTTGGGTTGGATTTTTTTTATTTTCTTTTTTTTTAATTTAAAAAAAGTTAAATACAAAACAGATTCGACCACTGTGGTCCATACTGATGGTGCAAAAATTAACAGTTCTGGTTTAGAAAACAATTTAAATATAGAAAGCTTAATCAGTTTGTGTTGCTTTTGCTACTACACAATTTCTTCTTGATTAGATGGAAATATCAGTTAACCAAGTCTTTGAAAGCTAATGCCAACTTTGTTTTATTTCAGAAATGAAGATTTGAGATAGCTACAGACCAAAAAATTAAAAAGATATTTGTATGTGTTTATAGAATGTCTGATATATTACTTTGTCAATATTTCAGTATTTAGCTCTACTTGGCAATGCTAATGTATTATACATGCTGAAGTCTATGTTAGCACCTCACAGTGTTTCTTTTAATTTTTTTTTATTTAAATTTAGGATTCATTTGATCAAAGACAAAGATGGCATAGATGATTATTTGGCGAAGAATATCAAAGGGTTGTCAAAACAAGAAGCTGCTGCGTAAGTTGGCTTTTTTGAGGCATTTTTACATCCGTAAGTTTATTGTTTCCTTTGTTTCCAGTCATCATAATCATTTAAATTTAAAGTTCCCTAGGCCCTACCCTTTTTAGTGGAACTTGGCATTTAAAAATTGAAGTTGATATTAAATAGTGATGGTTCATTTCTCCTGATCTTAAATATATCAAAGCATTTAACTCCTTGGGTTTACTAATTTGTATATTTACCAAAGTATTATATCACACTTGTAACATTATTGTTAAGATTGTGTTGGTAATTATATTTGACATTGTGCTGGGTTTTTTTCATTTGTGGGGTTTTATTTCTGAGCCTCTCTGAAATATCTCCTCTGGGATGGAAGCTTAGTATGCCGACATACATGTTCTTGTAATTTTGAATTATTATTTAGCCAAGCCCAAGTGCTGATTTCTGCAGTGAAGCATTTAATACACCATTAGTTATTTAAAAACCCAATGAACCAAAGAAATCTAGATAACTTTTGATTTCTTACATTTGAGGTATTTACATTTAGAAATTACAAGAGACTACAACTGACTTATTCTTCTGGAGTCTTTAACGGATCTGGGGTTCAGCACCATCAAAATTAATGAAAGAATTCTAACAAAACTGAACTGCTGGTTGCTTAAGTGAGATGATTTATTTATTTCAATATTTGAATAATAAAAAAGATGCACATACAAGGGCTCTAGGCACCTTAACAATTAATATTGCAAGATCACCCTTGCCAGCATAAAAATATTCTATCAATCAGACAGGAATTAGACCAGCTAGTTTCTTGCAAAGCATGCTGCTTTTCTCCTCCCTAGCCTAAGAATGTACCTGCAAACTTTCTCTAAAAACTTTCAAATGAAAATCTAGAAAATTACCAAGTCAATGTGAAAGGTAATAACTTTAGCAGTGTCCTAAAACCATATAATACTTATCCAGCAAACACACTTTCCTATGATACATGTCTGATTAGCTTTTATGTTTACAATGGTAACATGCTAAAGCTAGTAAGGCTAAAGTCTGTACAGATTTTAATGTATCTGGTCTGATGATCTATGAGAGTAATCTGTTTAAAGCAATCTCATACCCACTTTTTTAATTTAAGACGAGGTTCAGAGGTGATGGACTACAGATTAGCCTAGTGGTGGGATTGGGCAGGACTTTCTCAGTATGTCATCCTAGGGTTTGCAGAGTTCAATTTGTCCCTTTGTCTCTGTAGGAGAGACTCTGTTATGACCGTCACAGTCTGTGGGAGAGAGCAGCCTGACAGTGTCAGGAAAGTGAGTCTGGTGAGGCAGTGGGAAGTGGCATGTTACTGCTCTATGAGTACATGTAGTTGATGCAGGACAGTTACCTGTGATCATCCTGTCGTATTAATCATGCTAGATGTCATAGCCAATTTAAATATTACCTGCTTAAAGACAAGAAAACAGAGATTGGTCTGTGACACGGTCACATTCTGCATAAACTGGACCAGCATAAGGACCAAATCCTTCCCAAGCAAATGCTATGTTGACAGAAGTCCTGTTCCCTTGAATTAAGGATAGCGCAGCTTCTCTGTGAGGAGGGAAGAAGTGTCAGACCCCCGAGAGCAAGCAGAGAAATTAAGTACGTTCACTTACTGGCACCCTAATTCTGTACAGGCTATGCAGCGCTGTTGTAGCCATCATGCTACAGCGGTTGTCACAGGCTGAATTGCCTTCCCAGTGAGCTGTTTCAGGCTGTAGCCCCAGTGAATTTCCACCGTACACACTCCATGCTTGGGACAGAAGTGTTCTCCCTGTGGATTACACAGGAAACAACTGCTATTTTAGGAAGGCCTTGCGGCTTCAAAGTGCATTTTACATCTCTAATTTGATCAAGTCAGCCTTTTACTGCTACATTAAAAAAAAAAAAAAACAACACCAAAAAAACACCCCCAACACCAAACCACAAACAACAACACAAAACCAAAAAACCCTCCTATAGAATTTTTCTGTTTGTATCCAAACCCTGAGTCTGGAGGTTGTGGAGAAGGAAATCCATAATGAAGTGAGAATTTTATCATCTGTTCTGCAGTACCTGCACAAAGCAGGGTGTTTCCTTACTGTTTTGCAATATGCTGTTTTTCAGAGTTATCAAAGCCTTATGGAAGAATAAACCAAAATATCATATATATTCTGGGTTCTTTCTATGGAGATTTTTTAAGTATGTATTTTAAAAGATTACATTAATGTTCTGTGTAATTATTCTCAGAATTTTAGCTCTTGATAATACTCAGCAGTTAAAAAATTTATGTAGTGTGTGATGTACCAATGCCTTCCATAAACCTGATACAATCATTTGAGAGCAAACTAATGGTAACAAACTAGCAACTACACAGGTATATTAGTACTAGGCTAATCTCCTTATAAAATACTAAATGCATCGACTGTAATTTTAAACCAATTTATAAAGAAAGACAATACCATATCTGTAAACAATCTTACTGAAATCAATATTAGTATGCTTTTTATGTCTTGGCAGACAACAGATGTTCTTATTTCAAAAAGTGCAAGAAATGGCTTTTAATATGCTCTGTAGTTTTTTTTTAATATTGTATCCATTCCAGAAGTATATTATTGCATGTTTATGTAAAAGGACAGGTATCTGTCTTATGCCACTTAAATATCTGTACTTTTGTTTAATATAGAAGTTACTAAGTCAATCATTATTTTGCCAAGACAAATTCTTGTGGACACACTCCTGCTTAGTATTAAACATGTTTCTTTTTCTTTTTTTCGGTACATGTTAGGCAGATAATGTTTATTACCTCCTAAATAAAGGGATCTATGGGTATATAGGTACCCATACATTTATGGGTACATTTATAGGTATAAACAACATTCTTTAAAGTTGTTCCCTAAAATTGTATCCTTCATAATATTCTTTAAAATAAAGATAAGTTAGTTTCTTCATAGCTGAAGGGAAAAAAGGCAGCAGTTGTCCTTCTATTATACAGTACTGTTCTCTGTTTGAAACTTTAGCAAATCAGTAGAATTCTGTTAAGTGAACTTATGTTATAGTATCATTTTTCTGTGGAAAAATGTGGAGATGTTTTATTTTTTTACTTTGTAATAATTTTTTGTCCAAGGGTGATATGATAGAAGAAGAAGAAAAAACACTGCTTAAGAAAGACAGTACCCTAATTATATTATAACAGGATATTGCTTTGGTTTTTTTTCATTGATTTTGTTGTTTCCTTCTCTAAGATTTTAGCTTGAAATAAGAAGTGAATGTGGAGTAAGAAGCTGGAAACGAAAAAGAAATGTAAAAGTTCCTATTAATGCAGAATGTGACTACTTTCTTGCCACAGAATTAGGCTGTTGTAAGCTTTTGAGGAGGTTGATGACGCCACTGGTCCTCAATGTGCTTTCCCTGATACTTTGTGTTCTTGGACTTGACTCAGCAAATCATTAATGGCTCAAAATTGAGTTGCAGTAGAAATTAGAAATTGTCCTTATGACTGATCTAAGAGTCCAAAAGGTCATGATGAACTGTGAAGTAAGGTGTTTTCCATCAAGAGCTTGATTCCAGGGTTGAATCTTCAAATGAGTTTGGAGCCTAGAATGGACCAGAATTTGATATTGTCATTCCTGTTTCCTGATCTTTTTGTCAGGGCCAGAAAGATCAAGTCACAGTTCTCTCCTCTTCATACAAATGAAAGTTGTCTAAAGACAACCTTATCATCAAAAAAGAGTTAGAGACTAGAAAGAGAGGCTTTGAAATCTTTTTGATGAGAGAAACAGCTTTGTTTAGTAGTAACAAAAAATATTACATTACCAGTTTTACTAGATACATTTCTGTGAAACATGTGGTGGAGTTCTACTGTCCTCGCTCAGGACTCATTGGTAGTAAGATATCTCAGTTATTATGCAGGGAGGGCACAGGCTCACCTGACCTGATGTGGAGAAAAATTTTGTGTTTTCTGTCTTTTGAGTGGTGGATCAGTGTGTTGTGGAAAGCTTACCTTGATAAATTAGTATCAGTAAAGACATGCTATTTTATGACTTTTTGAGGCAGGAGGCAATATCATCTTGTATGCATTCTGTGAGATGTTTTTGAGATATAGTGGCTTATTCCGCTTAGAATTCGCCAGGAGACTGGTCCATTTCAAGTTTATCCGGAACACAAAAAGGCAAAGGCTTTCATTCACAGATGGGCTCTGACTTCCAGAACAATTTCCAGCCATCTCAGCTGATACTGGGAAGATCAATCATTAAACTACTTTGCAGATTGTCTACTGAAAACTCGAATATAATGTTTGCTCTAGGAGTGATAACTGATCAATATAGTAGCAATTCTTTGCTTCCATAAACGTTTGTTCTTCTCTGCAAAAAGAGCAAAGTGTTTTGATCTGTGTATGACGGGTCTAGAGGACCAGGTTAATCACCTGATTAGTTGAGTCTCATCTTTTAGAGAACTCCTTTAGAGTAATGGGAATTGTACTTTTGAAGCATCTATTCCTCTCCATTGCTTATAGAGAAAGCTCAGGGTGACCACCTGAGACATAGACATGTACATTTACTGCTGAGTCCCACACTGGAGAACTGTGGAATTTTGAAAGCTGTAGAAGGATAAGGTAGAAGTCTCATTCACTAATTCCTGAGACAGCATGTCTACAAGAAGCTGGCAAGTCCAAAACAAAAGCAAATCTTTTGTTGGTGCCATCTTATAGAAGATTATTTTTCCATTGTTCAGTGGAAGAATTAGAAGAAACGAATTATTTACAACACTCCTCCCCAAGTTTCTACTGTTGTCAGTGTCAGTATCAGCTAGGTAGATTTAAGGAAAAAATATGTCAGAAAATTAATGAGGGATTAAGTGTTAGTGCTCAAGATAAGTTTGTGGAAATAAGAGATTTATTTCCTACATCCTTACTTCTACCAGCGGGTTTCTGAATATTCAACCCCATCTGTCCCCCGGACTAAAGAGGAAGAAACTTCCTCACCTGATTAGAGCCCAGGATGATTTGG